ACAAACACGAACACGAGAGAGAGAGAGAGAAGCAGAGAGCAAGAGCAACCTTGCTCGTTCGTAGCCGTGTACCGCCATTGCCAGTGAGTGAAGTGAAGAGCAACCTTGCCTCTCTCTCTCATTCGAGATTTCTTCAGTCGTCTCTGATCTCTGTTTAGCGATCCGGCGAAGTTCTCCTCGGTACCCACTCTACTTCCGATCTCCTAAGTTAATGGTGCATTAAGGTGGAGAGTTTCCTGTGCAACCTGAGCAAAACCTGAGTGTTTGCTGGTCTTGCCTTCCACCTGTTCGACAAAATGCCTAAGTGAACTTCTGTTACTGAGAAGTCATAAGATGATTAAGGAGAAAAAGAGAGAGAGACATAGGGACAAAGACAGAAACAGAGAGGGCAACAAGCTATCAATGAGGAAGGGAAAACTACCTAAGAGCATTAGCTAAGAGTAAATCAAAATGTAAATCTGCTAAGTGCAAATCAACCAAGGTCTCCTTGAAAGAGTTTGATAATCAGATGGATGCTCAAATATCTACTGATGAGATGCCTGCTATACTCCCCCGCAGGTCTACACGCATCCGAGCAGCCCCCAAATCTCTCATCTCTGGAGATTTTGTGGGACCATGGCAAGGGCCCTGGTGAAGTTGTATAATGTTCCTTTGGAGCTTTGGACTGAAGAAGGTTTGGGTTACATTGCTAGCATCGTGGGAACTCCTCTTTATTTGGATGAGCCTACGTTCAAGAGAAGCAGACATACGTTTGCAAGAATATGTATTGAAGTGCCAGCAAATAAAGAGATCCCTGAGTCTTTCAAAATAAATCTTGGTTATGATGACCCATATGAGATTCAAGTTGAGGTTCTATGGAAGCCTCAAAGGTGTGATGGTTGTAAGACTTTTGGTCATACCACTAATTTGTGCCCTCAGAAGCCAAAGACCTTGAACCCTCCATCTTCCAAACAAGAGTGGAGAGTCAAGGAGACTAACATACAAGTTCCAACTAAGTGGGAAGTGGTGAAGAAAAAAAGGAGAGATGATGGGCAAGGTTCAACGACAGTGATAAACAAAGAGGGAGAGACGCAGCGTTTCACCCCATCAACATCTAACACTTTTGATGTCCTTGAATCATGTGATATGGGAGAGTTGGGGAATGGAGAATTTAATCAAAAGTTGTTGTGTCAAACGAAGAGCCTAAAAAGTAGAGGGAGTCCATCTCCAAGTGATTCCATTAATGGGGAGACTACAAAGGAGGATAACAGAAGAAAACTTAAAGCAAAACTTCATTACTTGAAGAGTGCTAGAGGGAAATTTTGAATACTTTGTTGTGTTTGGTGTGTTTGCCGTCTATAGGCTTAGTTTGTTTCTTTTGAGGAAGTAGTTTATTTCTTTGTTTATGTTTGTTCTCCCTACAAAGGATGTGTATTGAATTTCATTGTATATCTATCTTTTTTGGTTATAATATGACTTACTTATCAAAAAAAAAAAGGGGTTAAGATTTAAGATCTATTATTTAGATTTTTTGTATTTTTTTTGACGAGCTCATGGATTGGGCTGGCCAACGGCCCAATGTGTTGGTCCAATAAATCGAGTTTCAAACTCTAAGCTTAGGCCCAGCCAAGTCGCCCGCCTTGGCTGACTTTTCTTCCCTGTAGCATCTTTGAATTGTTCAACTCATTAGATGTTAATTAATTTAATTATCTCATATTCACTATTCTTAACAAAAATATCCAAACGAAATGATTGACTTCTAAGTTCTTGACTCTCTCTCTCTCTCTAATCAAGATTGCAGCAATCATTAAGCAAGGAATTTTTCATTCACGTTATGCCACTCTTTTACATATCTTCGGATGACAACATTTTCGTGAATTTCATTGGTTGTCGGTAGTGTAGGTCTTATTTCTTGCTATTGGATGACAACATTTTCGTGAATTTCATTGGTTGTCGGTAGTGTAGGTCTTATTTCTTGCTATTGGATGACAACATTTTCGTGAATTTCATTGGTTGTCGGTAGTGTAGGTCTTATTTCTTGCTATTGGATGACAACATTTTCGTGAATTTCATTGGTTGTCGGTAGTGTAGGTCTTATTTCTTGCTATTGGATGACAACATTTTCGTGAATTTCATTGGTTGTCGGTAGTGTAGGTCTTATTTCTTGCTATTGGATGACAACATTTTCGTGAATTTCATTGGTTGTCGGTAGTGTAGGTCTTATTTCTTGCTATTGGATGACAACATTTTCGTGAATTTCATTGGTTGTCGGTAGTGTAGGTCTTATTTCTTGCTATTGGATGACAACATTTTCGTGAATTTCATTGGTTGTCGGTAGTGTAGGTCTTATTTCTTGCTATTGGATGACAACATTTTCGTGAATTTCATTGGTTGTCGGTAGTGTAGGTCTTATTTCTTGCTATTGGATGACAACATTTTCGTGAATTTCATTGGTTGTCGGTAGTGTAGGTCTTATTTCTTGCTATTGGATGACAACATTTTCGTGAATTTCATTGGTTGTCGGTAGTGTAGGTCTTATTTCTTGCTATTGGATGACAACATTTTCGTGAATTTCATTGGTTGTCGGTAGTGTAGGTCTTATTTCTTGCTATTGGATGACAACATTTTCGTGAATTTCATTGGTTGTCGGTAGTGTAGGTCTTATTTCTTGCTATTGGATGACAACATTTTCGTGAATTTCATTGGTTGTCGGTAGTGTAGGTCTTATTTCATATCTTCGGATGACAACATTTTCGTGAATTTCATTGGTTGTCGGTAGTGTAGGTCTTATTTCTTGCTATTGGATGACAACATTTTCGTGAATTTCATTTGTTGATGGTAGTCCAAGTTAGGGGTGGGTAACGATTTATCGGAACTGCTCAAACCGCCTAACCTGCCCAATCCACATATAAATGGACAGTTTCGCAAACATAATGCGGACGGATACGGTTTGAAATATGACAAATTTACGGGTTGCGGGCGGATCACGGGTTAAACCCGTAACTTGCAAAAACCGCACTTTAATTATTATTATTATTTTTTATATACCAACTTTGTAACTTTAATAGGAGCACCATTATGTTCTCTATGACACTAGGATCCTTATTTTTAAGTATTTCTCAACTTTCTTAATATCGTTGAATTATCAAGTCCTAAACTTGATTTTTTATATGATTTTCATTGGTGACTCATCTACTTTTTCCTAATAAAATTTTCCTTCTGATGGTCGATGGAACTTCTAGTTTGATTATTGATTACTGAACTGACAATTCTAATTGAGTACAACCTTTAATGCATTGATATACATTTTTTTCATGGCAAAAATGCTAGTGTAGGGTCTCTTTGTTTTGGGTACTTTCATTTAATACATTGATATTCAATTTTTATTTGTAAATTCATTAGAAAATTGTTGTCAAGTGATCACAAATATATAAAATGAATCTGATGCCTAAATTCGATGGGAAAAAAAAATCTCAAAAATTAATTTTTAAAGAAAAAAGTGTAAACCGCCAATCGCCCGCAACCGCCCGCACATCTGCAAACTCTATCCGCACAAACCGCAAACCGCACAGCGGGTGGTTGTGGATTAATTTTTTCCCAAATCGCATAAATGCAGGCGGGTCAAAATCGAACCGCAAACTGCACAAAACCAATCCCCGAGCACCCATAGTCCAAGTCCTTGTCTCTATACTTGGAAAACAAGTAAGAAATATGTATATTTATGAACGAGGAGGATCCCTTCCTTCTAAAATTTGGACTAAAGGGCATTATTTAGGTTCATGAGACCTAACACAGATCTTGTTTTAAAAATTTTAACCGTTTATTTTGTCAAGTACGTTCTATGGCTTATCCACCCAATACATTAGGCCGGTTTGATAATTGTAACTTATTCAATTTATTATGTTTGTCACAAAAAGTACATGGCTTATTTTTAAAACTGCAATTGTCATATATATATATATATATATATATTTGAGTGACAAACGTGATAAATTGGAGAGTAAATTGGTGATAAATCCAATCTAAGGAGGATATAAAACATTAGGTCTGGTGAATATTTTTTGTTGGTGAGAGATCCAACTTTTGTGAAATAATTTGGTGAGAAGTCATTTTGTTATTTTACAACATTTTGTTTTCAATTTTACTCTTTAATTTATTTGTTGACTTTTTTTATTTGTTGACTTTTTGTTGACTATCTGTTCAAATTTATATATCTTTCTGTTTAAATTATTTTCTATCTATTCAAATTTTTTTTGACTATCTGTTCAATTATTTTATCTATTCAATTTTTGTTGTCTATTTGTTGAATTTTTTTTACTTATGATTAAAAATGATCTAATTATAATATTTGGGATAAATAACACCACAAAAGTTTGTGTATCATAGTATTACCTAAATATTTTATGGTATAATAATATATGTATTAATATCAAATATTTTTTGTAATTCTTACCGATTTTCTTTACTCATCTAATAATTATTGTTTAAAATTTTTTTTTGTTAATAAGAGTAAAATAGACATTTAAAAAAATTAATTTATTATATTAATTTTTCCATTAGTTGATCTTAACGGTTAACTAACGAAATAATTAAATTAAAATGAAAGTTTAAACATTAAAAAAAATGAATGTAATTTTTAAAATGTAAAGCAATTATTTGTATTAAAGACAAACATTAAGAGATGTAAGTGTAATTTACCCTAATATCTTCACCATTGATTTGCTATTGCTTTTCCCAAATATCATTTATTTGTAATGTTTCCTTATTTTTCGATTTTTACTAAAATCAAAATATATTCATTTATTCTATTTGAATTGTCAACGTCAAAAGAAATTTTGTTTCCTTCGCCATCCCTCTTTTGCTTTCGTATGCAGCTCTATCCTTTGTTTTAAATTTTTTTGTTTGAACCTTCCATACCAATCAACAATGTAATTTTTTGATTCGTATTCACACTTTTTATCTTAGTGAACAAGAAATATATAGAGCACAAGAAGTCAAATTCACCCTTTTTTTTAATTTTTAATTTTTTATTTTTTTATGTCGGTATCAATAAATTCACCCTTCATCTCACTTCTCCACTCCACACACACAGAAACACAGAGAAAAGAGGAAGAAAAAAATAAAGGGAAAATGAATTTAATTTTTAAACCGTGAAGAGAATATTTATATTAGAGGCAAACATTAAGAGGTGTAGTGTAATTTACCCGAATATCTTCACCATTGATATGCTATTGCTTTTCTCAAATATCATTTATTTATAATGTTTCCTTATTTTTCGATTTTTACTAAAAACAAAATATATTCATTTATTCTATTTGAATTATCGACGTCAAAAGAAATTTTGTTTCCTTCTCCATCCCTCTTTTGCTTTCGTATACAGCTCTATCTTTTTTTTTTTTAATCTTTTTGTTTGAACCTTCCATACCAATCAACTATGTAATTTTTTGATTCGTATTCACACTCTTTATCTTAGTGAACAAGAAATATATAGAGCACAAGAAGTCAAATTCACCCTTTTTTTTAATTTTTTAATTTTTTAATTTTTACGTCGGTATCAATAAATTCACCCTTCATCTCACTTCTCCTCTCCACACACACAAACACAGAGAAAAGAGGAGGAAAAAAATAAAGGGAAAAAGAAAGATGGAGATCTGGTTCGTCATCATAACTACCCTATGCATCTCTGCTCTCATCAAATCTCTCTTCAATCTAATCCTCTCCCCATCTTCTTCCTCATCCAACAAGAACCTCCCTCCGGGCCCGGCCACTGTACCAGTGATTGGAAACTTCCTATGGCTTCACAAGTCATTATCGGAGATTAAACAAATTCTCCAAGACCTCCGGGGCAAGTACGGCCCCATCATCACCCTCCGGATAGGGCATCGTCTAGCCATCTTCGTCAGCAGCCACTCCATCGCCCACCATGCCCTTATTCAAAACGGTGCCCATTTCTCAGATCGCCCCAAGGCCCTCGCCACCAACAAGATTGTCAGCAGCAACCAACACAATATCAGCTCCGCCGCCTACGGCCCCACCTGGCGCCTCCTCCGCCGCAACCTCACCTCCGAGATCCTCCACCCCTCCCGCGTCAAATCTTATACCCACGCCCGCCAATGGGTTCTTGGAATTCTGATCCACTGCCTACTGAATTCCACCGAGGACTCCTCGGTGAAGGTGGTGGATCATTTCCAATACGCTATGTTTTGCTTGTTAGTACTCATGTGTTTTGGTGATAGGCTTGATGAGAAGCAAATTACACAAATCGAGACGGTGCAACGCGCGATGCTATTGAGGTCTAGTCGCTTCAATATACTCAACTATTGGCCCAAATTAGGGAAGATTGTGTTTCGCAACCGCTGGAATGAGCTCTTGCGGATGCGCCGGGATCAAGAGGAAGTGTTGATTCCTCTTATAGAGGCCCGAGTCGATGTTGTGAAACATCGACGACAATGGAACCAAGAAGAAGAAGCGAGCGTGGTGGCATATGTGGATACATTGGTGGATCTTGAACTGCCCGACGAGAAGAGAAAGCTCAACAACGATGAGATGGTGAGCCTATGCAGCGAGTTTCTCAATGCGGGCACTGATACTACATCGACTGCTTTGCAGTGGATCATGGCTAACCTGGTGAAGTACCCTCGGGTTCAGTCCAAGTTGTACAAAGAGATTATTGGGATAGTGGGCCTGCCACCACCCCTGCCCCGAGGAGAGAAGAAAGAAAAGGAGATCCTCCTCATAATAAACGAGGACGATCTACATAAGATGTCGTACTTAAAAGCTGTAGTATTGGAAGGGTTGAGGCGTCACCCACCGGGGTGTGGGATATCATCACCATGTGAGGGGTGAAGCCAACACACATGAGTTGGCCATGTTAGGAAGCCAACACACATGAGCTGGCCATGTGAAGCCAACACACAAGATAGCTGGCCATATGCAAGACCAGCCTCTCCATCTCCATTCTGTTAGTGTATAAATGGAGGCTGAGGGGAGGAGAACAAGTGAGTGAGCAGAGCAAGCCACAGAGAGTGAGATATGTGAGGCGGAGAGACCGTCTCCCTCGGTGTGAGCGAGGGAGACGGGTGAGTGGGTGAGTGAGGAGAGTGTGAGCTCCTCCTCTATTGTAATCTTTCTGTAATATCTCCATTGTTATAGTGATAACCGGCTACTCTCCCGTGGACGTAGGCATTGAGGCCGAACCACGTTAAATATTGTGTCTCCTTGAGTGTGGGTGTGTTTTTCTGCATGGAATAATTTCTATAAGGTCTTGGGCGGGATCCCAAATCCCAACAAGTGGTGTCAGAGTCTCGTTGGTGGCGTTTCGGAACAAAAACAGCGTGTTGTTTGAAACTGCCCAGAAATCAAGTTGCTCGAAATCAAGTTTTGAGCATACCAGGAGCAAGGGCTCGAGAAGAGGAGTCCAACCATGTAAAGAAGATACCCAGAGGAGTGCCCACGCGCTCTCATGCGCCCCCTGAAGAAGGCGCGTGAGGCCTAGTCTCTACACGCGCCCTCACGCGCCGTGAGGACAGTCGGCGCGTCGGCCCAGTCTCACGCACGCGCCCCACGCGCGGCTGAAGGAAGAAGGTGAGTGGGAGTAGCGCGTGTCCACCACGCGCACGCCATGTGGGCCCACGTCAGCAGCGACGTGTCAGTCACGTCAGCAGCCACGTCAGCAAGTGTTGCCACGTGGTTGCCACGTTATCAGCCAGGTCACCGCCACGTGGCCAGCCACGTCATCGACACGTGGCCATAGAGCATTGTCACGTCAGCACAGGTGTGCCACGTGTCTGCCACGTCAGCAGTGGTGTTGACCAGTCAACCAGAGGCAGGTAGGGATCCTGTGCGATACGGCAATGGTGCAGCCACAGGAGGAAGGATCCAGTGCTTTGCGGCTAAGGTGCAGCAGAGATCTGAGGCGTACAAAATGTTTTGGCTAGATCTAAGCCATTTGGAGTCCGTTTTTGGCGATCCAATAGTGGTTTTCAACTATTTGGAGTATTCCGGACACATCCGTATGGTCAGATTTTGGAGACAGAGTTTCTGTAAAAAGAAGGCAGATTAAAGTGGCAGATGGCGTCAGGGGCAGTGGACGGAATATTCTGTTAGTACACAGAATATTCCCTGAACTTTTGAAAATTACAATTTGGCCTAGAATTTTTAGAAAATTGTGGTGTGGCCCAACTTTTGGGGAGATTTTTTCAGTGAGGTCCCTGGAAGTGTAGCGAAGGTTGGTCCTAGCTAAACGGACCGCTCCGGACGCAACCGCAAGGTCAGAATAGTGAAATTCTGAACGGTTTTTGAAAGATTGTCAAAACATGGGAGTTTGTCATCTTCAATAGTCGAAGGAAGGTTGCCGGATATTGTGGAACGCTGTAGATTCACTGAAGAGGTTAGAATGGGCAGATTCTGACCAGATTGGACAACCAGATACAGATTGAGATAGATCATTGAAGACCAGGCTTGATCAAATGGCAGATCGAGGGAGATCAGGATTGGTCAGGGGCGATCAGAGGATTGCAGACATGATTATCTCAAAGGTCTAGGAAAGTTCTGTCAAAAAGACACTGTCTAAGGAGACTGGTTCTTAAGTGGGACCGGTTGTGACCCCACCAGTCTTTCCTGGGAACTTTCCTGGTTGTTGAGGTGATCGAAGGATCTGGTTCAATCAAAAGAGAAGAACATTCATCGACGGATAGATGATTTGGCAACCAGTACAGGCTCAGGGAAATACTGTAGCTGTTGGAGCTACTGTATACGAGTAGGTACTAATGGTATGTGGACATGTAGAACAATAGTTGCAGAGGAGCATCCTAAGCGCAGAAGTTTTTAATTGCAGACATGCAACAGCGCAAGGGTACGCTAGTGTGTCATACAGAGGCGCGAGAAGAGTGTGCAGCAGCGGGTTGTTGACAGTTCACAGGAACTTCTAGACAGAGAAATTGAGACAGGTAAAACGCAAGAGTGCGTGCCAAGGAGTGACAAGTCTTATTTCTCTATGGTGGTTTTCTTTAGTTCCATGGCAGCAGATGATAGAGTTGATGCAGATCTCTCAAGCAAGCTTGACGCAAGGAGACCAGAAGCCATGGGTGCGAGCACTATGCACGGAATTGCATAGCTGACGATGCTTTGACAGATGGAGCTACTGTCAACCATCAATCTACTGGACAGCAAATCAGGGATTGCAAAGGCACAGACAACAAGCGTATGTGGAAACGCCAGGAGGTTGTTCAGAAGTGCAGAAGGGCAAAGGCTGGTTATTCAGAAATAAGCTCCGAGCAAGGAAACTTGAGGATGTTGATGTGTCAAACTCTGAAGTTTTCTAGTTGCTCCAGTGTTCATCATGCAAGGAGTTGCATGATAGTCAAGGGCATCCAAGCAGGGGGTGCAGGACATCCAATCAGGGGGTGTCGGATATCTTGGTTGCACAAGTTCAAGCATAGCAGGTATAGACATCCGAGACAGGAAGCATGGAAGAGATCTGTGGGAGATAGGAGCAGTGGCTCTCTCCAAATCAGAGAGTGGTGTGAGTTGAGTTGAGGATGTGCAAAACAGTCCATGTTTGGCACTTCTTTCTAAAAATCTGTTTTCCAAAACGATTTGTCAGATTTGGCCTCTTTGGTTCAGATTAAGAATCATGATGATTTGAGAGTCCGAACTGTAGTGAGCCCAAAACGAACAGAACAGGACTCATCCTCCCGGGGCGTTCGGGGACGCCTACACATACATGCCAAGGGAGGAACACTGGTGCCAAAGTAACAGCTTCAGACCAACTTCCACCTTCCAAATATCGGTGACAGATTTACCTACACAGACAGATCAGACCATCTGCCTATAGGATATCACCCATTTGAGGGGTGATCACTTCATGTTCATGGCTAACCCACTTGAAGATAGTGGGGGTGGCACCTCCCCATTGTGATGGGTGGGGGTGGCAACTGCTCCACTAACCTTGCCTCTCTTCTACACTCTTCATGTGTATAAATGGAGGAAGGGTTAGATAGGCAGAGAGTGAGCAAACTGAGCAAACCAAAGAGAGTAAGAGATGTGAGGCGGAGAGACCGTCTCTTTCGGTGTGAGCGAGGGAGACGGGAGTGTGGCTGAGTGAGGAGAGTGTGAGCTCCTCCTCTATTGTAATCTTTCTGTAATATCTCCATTGTTATAGTGATAACCGGCTACTCTCCCGTGGACGTAGGCATTGAGGCCGAACCACGTTAAATATTGTGTCTCCTTGAGTGTAGGTGTGTTTTTCTGCATGGAATAATTTCTATAAAGTCTTGGGCGGGATCCCAGATCCCAACAGGGGCACTTCGTACTGCCCCACACGGTGACCAAAGATGTGGAGTTGGAAAGCTATCAGGTGCCCAAGGGTACAATGGTAAATTTCATGGTGGCGGAGATGGGGTGGGATCCAAAGGTATGGGATGAGCCCATGGAGTTCAAGCCCGAGAGGTTCTTGACAAATAGCGGTGGCAATGGAGGAGAAGGGGAAGGAGAAGCGAAGGTGGTGTTCGATGTAACAGGAAGCAAGGAGATCAAGATGATGCCATTTGGGCCGGGGAGGAGGATTTGTCCGGCGAGTGGTTTGGCTCTGCTTCACTTGGAATATTTTGTCGCCAATTTGGTTTGGTATTTTGAATGGATGGCTGCGGATGGAAATGATGGGGATGTGGATTTATCGGAGAAACAAGAATTCACTATTGTGATGAAGAATCCACTACGGGCCCACATCTCCCCTAGAGGCTAAGGTATAAACAAATAAATGCACACTAGTAATACATATATATGTATTTCTGAATTCACAATGTAATACATAAAATGATCCCAAAAAAAAAAATGTAATACATATATATCCTACTTTGAATTCACAATGTAATGCATATGTATGTATTTCTGTAATGTACACCCACCTATACCTTGAACCACTTTCAGAGTAAGACAGAAGATAATACGTAACTTTTTTTTTTTGGTTTTTGCTTTGTTCTTTCCATGATTTTGTTGTACATAGCTGTAGCTGTCGAAGAAGGACAATCGTGTATAACCATGACGGGTAGCCTAGTTGTTCATTGGATTTGTTTCTTATATGGTAGATTTAGTTTCAACTTTTATCGGTTCATTATTTGAATTATGTAGTTAGGAATGTCACTTGATTTTTAAATTTACATTCCTAGAATAGGGTCAAAAATACTTGCATTGGACATAATTCCGGTTAAACAAAAAAATAATAAAAATCATGTATATGAATTTCATTCCATATCCAATATATAAAAAAATCCCAGATTTAGTTTTTTTTTATTACATAAATTTAATAGATATTTATTTCATGATCAATTTGTGAAAAAAATCACATGTCTGCCACATTAACATATTGAAAATGACAAATTTTTAAAGCGATTTTTAAATTGAAATGAAATAATCACAAATAATTATATAATTCGAAGACTTATGTAAGGGTGGTAGTTGCTAACATGGTTTCACATGGGGAGGGTGTGGCTCATTTGGTTTGGAGATTTATGGGAGATATTTGGAAGAACATTCACAATGGATTTGATCACAAAATTACATAATGTATTCATTTTTAATCATTTCATCGTGTTACCAAACATGGCCTAAGTTTAAGATATTTGAAGTGAAGATTACGGCATGCTTTTTAGGATAGCTTAGGTGTTTCTTTTTCTTGGAAAGGGATTTAGAGCTCTAAACCCCTTCTACTGTTTGGTTTTTATTTTTATCACTACAAGAAAACTGGGTATATAAGACGGAACTATTTGCGACGGCACACTTGCCGTCTCAAAAAGTCACTTTTTGCGACGGCAGAAAATGTCGTCTCAAAAAAGCAGAGTATTTGTGACGGCACCATTTGCCGTCTCAAAAAAGCAGAGCATTTGCGACGGCACTAAGGGGCGTCGATTTGGACGCTTTGCTCGATATGTCCACAGATGAGCTTGTTAAGCTCTTTACCGCTCGAGCTCGCAGAAGGTGATTTACATTTGTATGTATGTATGTTTTGTGTTGTATGTATAGTTTTTGTTGCATTGGTAGTTGCTTTGATTCATTTTTTATTTTTTATTTTTTGTGTTTGGATAATTTAGGTTTCAGAGAGGTCTGAAGAGGAAGCCCATGGCCTTGATCAAGAAACTCCGCAAAGCGGTAATGATTTGTTATGTTACTTTGATTTGATTTGTACTTGGATGTTGTAATTTTGACCTGAAATCTGTCGTTTGAGTATGTGATTGTGATTGCTTCAGTTTTGTTCTAGGTATAGGTCTCTTTTTGATTTGGTAGTAAGTTTTAGATTAATGCTTGAGGCCTCGAAATTCTTTTTTTTTTTTTGCTGTGTGTTCGGTGTTTTTTTTTTTTTTTAATCTTTGAGCGCATTGGCTTGATATGAAATGCATAGATACTATCCCTCCATTCTTTTTTTCCATGATTCTCCTGAATGCTTGTTTCACACTACGTCTTGTGTTATTTCAATATGTGGCGAGATGAATGCTTCTGTTGTTGTCAAAAGCTTGGATATTTCGGTGGCTGCATTCTTTAGGTATTGTCTACGTCTGTCATTCTATGGACCATTGTGAATCTGTGGTGGACATTACACTTTATTCAGAAATAATTAAATAATTAAGTGGAATTGTTTCTGGTTTTGGGGTTTTACTTCTGTCTTGAATATATGTATGATCTTTCTATGAGCTGGTGTCTCAGATGAAATTGAAAGGTGCACTCTGCAGACTAGTGATTAGTTATTGCAACGCTTGGACTTTCATTTTGTTTTTTATTTTCAATTATTATTTACCAAGAAAAATTGAAGTTAGATGTGAACTACTTGTTAATGTAGGAACACTAAACGCATGAGATTTTTTCAAGCGCATTTTTAACACCAAAAAACTTATTGATAAGTATGTTATGATCCAATTTATCAAAATTTGAATGTTTGTAATGGTTTTAATCAATGTTGTGCACCTAAGAACATGTTTTCTAGATGTTATTGAATTTTAGGTTGGTTTTAAGGCTTAAAAAGTGGAGAATTTCGTCTAGTAGGGAATTGCACTATCTAGAGTATTTAGAAATGCTAGTAGAATAGATTAGATAATTCATAAAAATATAGTAATTGTAAGTCAATATTTGTTGTTACAATGGTAATACAAGTAATATGACAACACTAGTGGCTAATATAAGGTATGCTATATGTATTACCTCATTGATTCATGAGTTTACACGTAAAACAAATGACGTATATGACTCTTAATTTTTTGAATTAGTAGATTACCATTTAAAATTCATAGTTTTTATTTTAAATCAATAAGTTAGTAATATAGATTAATGAAATTAGGATTTTCAATTAAAGAATATGACAATGAAGAATTTAAAAAGAGGAAAATAATTTAAAATAAAAGAATAATTTGAGTGTTAATGTTTAAGGAAGAATAAGAGATTTTCAGTTTAGAGTTTTACTTTTAAACATTTTTAATGTCTTAACAGAGGTAAAATTGAATATCGTACCATAACAGTGATGTAATGGCTTGTAATCTGCAGTTGCGTGCAGCTTTGACTTTTTTTGTTATGGAGCTCCAAAATCCCTTTATGTAACAGCTATTACATAATGTAGTGGCCGTTTTTTAAACTCATGGTTGTCAGTCTTGATTGCACAGAGCCAAAGCTTTCTGGTTAATTCTGGTTGATGGCTTCAAGTTTAATATATAATGTCATGAGAACTAATTTGTTTACATTAGAAACACCTTGCATTGTATCCTCTTGTTTAGAGATTGAAAAACTTGGGCAAGTGATTGAATGTTTCCTCTTGGTTAAGTCTAAGCTTTGTTATGTCTTTTCTCTTTTGGTGGTAATAAAAGCTTACTTACCAAAAAAACAAAAAAAGAATGTTACAGATTACTTGACAAAAGCTATGATATGGATAAATTAAAACATAGAAAATGATACATTGTTTATTTTTCAGATTTAAAAATTCAAGTATTGTCATGTTGACAAAAATTCAAAACCTATTGCATATTTTTGCGTGTCATTTGTTATTCTCCAATCATGAAACACTAAGTTCTCTGTTTTGTTTACACATGCATGTCTATTACTTATTATTTTTTTTATACATGATTAGGTTCATGTATGTCTGTGCTTAGTTATATCTTATCTTTTATGGATTTGTTTTATCTTAGCATCTTTTGTTTTAGTATGGCTGAAAAAATATGATATATATATATATTGTACCTGTATCTGCGCCTGCGTCTGCACCTGCACCTGCTGCTGCTCCTACCTCTACAGTTACTGCCATGTGAGTATTTTTCTTCTTTGGTTAACTTGTGAAGACTGAAGAGCATGATTTTTTTTTGTCTGTTTATTTAATTTGGACAATACTGTTTACCTTTGTTAATCCAATAATGTGTGTTCAACCAGACCAGAGTCTAATGTCTATGGTCAAGCAGCATCGAATTTGGTTGCTGGAAGTAACCTTGATGGAGCGGTCCGGCAAATTCTTGATATGGGTGGAGGGACTTGGGATAGGGATACTGTTGTTCGAGCTCTTCGTGCTGCTTACAACCCAGAGAGAGCTGTTGAATATTTATATTCTGTCAGCGTCTTTACTTGTATTTGATCTCTTTTGTGAATTTATTTTTCAAATGGGAAGTGCAGAAGCATGACGAAAATTTTTGTTTTTGATTTACGTTATTTATATTTGTGAACAACATTATGTATTGGATAATTTTGTTGATGCATTGTTATGAATGGAAGAATATTTTAATTATGGATGAATTATTATTTTTATACTGGACTTTTTATATTATTATGTAATTATTGGTTTTTTTTATAGTTATTTTTCATTTAATACAGGTTATTTTCATATATTTATTTATTTATTTTTTGAGAGGGCAGTCCACTCACCTTCTCAAATAGGGGTTTTTTGCGACGGCAGTAATGCGTCGCAAAAGACAGGGCATTTGGTTGAAAATGAGGACTTTTAGCGACGGTGTAATTTGCTGTCGCCAATAGTGCTTTAGCGACGGCACCAAGTGCTGTCTCAAATAACCCTTTAGCGACGGTATTTGTGCCGTGGCAAATACCCCTTTTAGCGACGGCAAAACAGTGCTGTCTCAAAAAAATTTCAGATTTTCACAAGTTAATGGCGACGGCATTTTTCGGTCGCAAAAGGCTTCTTTGCCGTCGCAAACCAAAGGCGACGGCGTCATACCGTCGCTAAAGCCCTTTTGCAACCCCCTCTGTTGCAACCCCCCACTTGCCGTCGCAAAAGGCCACTTACCGTCGCAAAAAACCTTTTGAGACGGCGTTCTGGGTATTTGCGACGGCATTTTACCGTCGCAAAAAATCAATTTTTTTGTAGTGTATTTTTATTTTTTTATTTTTTAGACAACAGCTTGGGAAAAAATTTATGGATAATTTTGTCCATCCAAATTTTGTGGCTTGGTATTGGTGTAGTATGTGCAAAGATGTGCATGATATTGAAATAGTGGTTATAGAGATGTGGGCTTTGACTTTGTTATTTTGTCATGTTGAGTTTTCTGTGAAGAGTAATAGAGTTTATACATTGTTAAAATGTTATTTAGGGATTTTACAGTAGCCTTGCACATAAATTTAGGACATTTACAGAGGCCTCACTATCATTCGTGAGAAAGGATAAAACCAAACAGAGATTGAAATAGACTCGGAAAAAGCTTACACCCTTTAAGAAAGGGCCCAATCCACTCTCCTTTCCAAGGAAATAGTGAATGAGTGCAGAGCCTTAAGGGGAAGATGTAACTGTGTAATCAATCAAGCATATCTGCAAGGAAGGAAATCAATGCGCAGATAGATTAAGCTAGTATAGAAATTGTTCAAGATGAACCCTGGTTGGTCTAGATCAGCCCCTTACATATGGGGGGTCTATTGTTAGTTGACCTCTCTGGGGTCTCTTTTGTTAGGGCTTAGTCCTCTTCTAATCCTTTGAATTAAGAAAAAAATGTTATTTGCTACTCTTTTGTTAAGATCCTACAAACGGACACATGATGCTGATTTGTTTTGTTTCATAGTTAAGCTTCCTAAGAATTTCAGCATTCCCAATTAATCAACTAAGGGTAAATATTGAAAAAAAAAAAAAAAAAAAAATTTCAAGATTTAAGCCTTATAATAAAATAAAATTTTAATTCTGTTAATTTAAATTATAATATTTTAATTTTTTTCAATCTAAATCATTCCCTTATTTTTGTCAAGTAAAATTATCAATATATATATATATATATATTTTAGTCATTAAGTTCACGAGAAGGTTGTTTCAAATATTTTATATACATCTACATTTAGTTTAAAGACTAAAATATATTTTTCTCATTGGTTTTACTTAACAAAAATAGGTTGATGATTTAGATTGAAAACAAATCAAAAATTTAAAGTTTAAATTGACAAAATTAAAAATTCAAGATTTATTATTTTGTTACAAATGTCAAATTTTGAGTTTTTTTATTTTATTTTATTTTAATTTTTTATGTTTTATTTATTTATTTATTTTTTAATTACCCCATCAACTTATAGATTGGCATGTCCTTAAAGCTTATACTCTCGTAGGGTCCATGGTTGCTACTGTGAGTTAAGGATGCGGGGTTGCTAGAAATAAATCGTCCAATTTAGAACAAATCAGAAAGATACTTTTAAAAAAAGTGCTACTAAATATCTCTACTTATTTATTTTGAACCCTCCACTTCTTTAAACTCCCACTCACATAATTGAAATCCTCTCATCTTCTCTTGGAACCCCCATATTAATACCAATTAAACCCCTGTTCTTTCGACCCCCAACTTTCCTTCTTCTTGCAACCGTTTCCACCGTTGGCAGCCCTTCAACGTCAACGACCATCCTTCCGGCAACCTCTACCCTCACCAATGACCCCACCAAGGGCTGGAACTAGGAGAAGGCTATGGTGGGCCATGACCCCCATGTTTCTGTGAAAATTCTATTAATAAGTACATGAAGAAGAATAAAGAGACTTGCAGTGACATTTCTAGTGAAGCTTTGACAGTAAGGGGTAGACCCCGTTCGAAGTCGGCAGGAGCTTCAACTGATAGATTTGATCTTGCGATGGATCAGTGTGCCTATTGTCACAAGAAAAGGCATTGAAAGAAAGATTGTCCAGCTTTGAAGAAGAAAGAAAATGATGATTCCAATTCCAATGTAGCACATGATGATTCTGATGATTATGAATTTTAGGTGGCCTTTGGTCACTTGTTTGATTGTGAAAGATTCTCATTTGTTGATATGGAGAAGATCTTGTGGTAATCTACTTTAGATCTTGGTGGAGCTTTTGCATCATTTTGCAGCTTCTTGGAGGCATTGTTTTTTGGCGGTCTTCCCTAGATCCTTGGCGACTTCTTCGAAGTCTTGTTTTTGACTTATGATCGTTTCTTTCTCTTGTGGCTTTGCATCATTTGCATTGTTCTTCTGCTCTATATTCGAAGACACCAATAGTGGTTGTTGAAGATTGGAGATAAGATTGTTGAGGAGAAACTTGAAGATGATGATTCTGAATCTCATCATTGCGGAAGGAAAGCTTTAGAAACTTTGTTTGTAGCCTTCTAGTTGTATTTGAATCGATCTCTCAATATGCTGTAAGATTTGGAGGAGATAGATCATTTGCAGACTCAGTGGAGTCAATTTGGAATTTGAAGTTTGAATTTTGTATAGGATTTGCTTAGAAGGAGAATTTGAAGCCTTCCATTGTTTTGGATTAGTCTCCTCAACATTAGATTAAGAGGTCTGTACATCATAGTTTGTTTGAAATTATCGAAGTAGACTTGTTTGGCGTTTGGGTCTTGGCACCATGATGGTGTTTAGAATTTGGTTCCTTATTGCAGAATAATTTGAAGAATTGGTTCAATTGATTATGCAATCTGTTTTAGATAGGCTTTGAAAATCTAAAAATCTTAGAGATATTGATTTGTGATTATGTATCAATTTTAACTAGTATATAACTGTGGACACCCCATTTTTGACCGTCTTCAAGACTTGGACGTCATCGTTTGTGCACTCGATGATTGCACTTGTTTGTGTTTGTTTTGAGCGTCCGAAGTCCTCGGCGGAATAACTTGTCTTTGAGCCTCTAAACCTTATCTATTTTGTGCATGTTTTTGGACCTAGAGCTTGTTGCCTCTAGCCTGGAAGAGATGGTGACATGTCGGCCAGCACAAGGATCCGTCGGCCATGGCTTGTACCTGTTGGCTACCAGTGGTGGTCGACGGCCATTGGTCCATTTTTTCAGATATTTGTTTGCCAGTTGTGCCAGCTGTTGCTCACTAAGCTGCATCTTCATACACGTGTATGGTAGGATGTGTTAAAGCTCAAGACTTGATTTTCTATATATAGGGGGGTGCCTCTCCCATTTTGGTGGGTTAGAAGATTTTGGACCAAAAATTTCTCTTTCTCTAGCTTTCTCTCTCTCACTTGATATTTTGTGCTTTGTAGTTAGTTTTCTCTACACTTTTGCACACCAACCCTTAACCAAACTTGATCACCATTGAGCTGAGATCCCTTGGAGTCTTGTTTGGGCTTTGGAAGGAGGTTTGAGCTTGGATTTGTGCGTAAATTGTGCTTTGCTTCTAAGGTAGAGTACTTACCTTATTTAAGCTTATTGTGCGTACTTATTTTCCTATCTTTTTCAAATGTTTTAAGGTTGTTTTTGAAGTGTAAAAAAATCTATTTTTGAGGTATAAAAATGGTGGTTTGAGCCTTTTTGAGTTAGGGGTTGTCCACCTTTTTGGCTTCTTAGCTTGTTAAGCTTTTTATGCTTTTTTCCTCACTTTCAAAACAACTTTTTTGGGCCTTTTAGCCACTAAATCTCAGAGGTTTTTCAGTATTAAAAAACAACTTTTGAAGTCCAAAATTGAAAGGGTTAGCCTCCCCTCCTCATGTCTTGTTGCATGCCTAGTTAGCTTCATAAGTTAGCATGTTTTTCTAGCTTACTTTAGCTTTTGTCCAGCATGCTTTTGCCACTGTTTTGACCTGTTTTGGCTCTGTTTTGGGCTGGTTAATTCAGTTAAGGCTTGTAGTGCATGGTTGTAGTGCAATTTCCTTCACTAGCTTAGTGTTTTAATATTTTGAGCACCATTGTTTTGAGTTAAAAACATGTTTTAGAGTTGTTTTGCACTCCATTTCAGCACTAAAATCTCAGCAATCTCCCTCCATTCTTCATTCTTTTGTTTTCTTTGAAAGTGGTTTCAAACCACTTGTTTGCCTAAGTGTGGAATTGAGGTGTTGCACCTAATGGTTTAATCCCTTAGGGGGTTCATTACCAACAATGTAATGTCTCTTTCATGCCCAAAGAAACTTTTGGTTTGGGCCATCTTTCCATTAGAGGACACTCACTTTTGGACTTAACCGATTAAAGAATGGATTGGTAATGTAAAATGAGTAAACAAAAAATGAACAAGTAAAAGAGGCAAGATAAACATTTTTTGTGTTGCATTGCATGTGTTCGAATCGGACGTTAATTCGAACACGAAGAAAATGGGGCATTTCATACTCAAAGTAATGAAATATGCCACACTTTCCTTGGTCACCATCACCCTTGATCATGCATGATAGGGTGGTGGCCTTTTTTAGTCTTGTTTTGCATTCATTAAACTTGTACGAGCTTGGTTCCTTAGCCATCATGTATGGAAATTGCTTAGTTGATGGTTTGAG